GAATAAAAATTATTATTCTTTTTTAAATCATTATCATTATTATATTTTCTGGTGAAAGTCTATACCTTCGGCCGCACCTCCAGGCGATGAAGTAAGAAGAACGATTGCAGAAAGAAAAAGACCTGTTGGGACAAGATCATCTTTACATAACACAATCTACTGCTGTAATAATATACTTACATGGTTTTTATTATAAACTAAGTGTGCTGGTATGGTATGGCGAAGTATTGTGTGGTGATAGTATGGTATGGTATGGTATGGTATGGCATGGTATGGTATGGCATGGTATTGTATGGTATGGTATGGTATGGTATGGTATGGTATGGTATGGTATGGTATGGTATGGTATGGCATAGTATGTTATGGCATGGTATGGTATGGTATGGTATGGTATGGTATGGTATGGTAAGTTATGGCATGGTATGGTATGGTATGTTATGGCATGGTATGGTATGGCATGGTATGGTATGGTATGGTATGGTATGGTATGGTATGGTATGGCATGGTATGGCATGGTATGTTATGCCATGGTATGGTATGGTATGTTATGGCATGGTATGGTATGGTGAAGTATTGTGTGGTAATAGTATGGTATGGTATGGTATGTATGGTATGGTGTAGTATGGTATGGTATGGTTCTTCACGGTATGATATGGTATGGTATGGTATGTATGGTATGTATGGTATGGTATGGTATGGTATGGTATGGTATGGTATGGTATGGTATCGTATGTATGGTATGGTATGGTATGGACATGGTGTGGTGTGGTGTGGCAGGTTATTGTATGGCATGGTGTCGTATGTTATAATATTGTATCCTAATAGTATGGCATTGGAGGTTATGGTTATGTACAATTATGGTAAGTTTCGGTATACTATACTATGGTACGGAACAGTTTTGTTAAATATTTTAGGAAACAGGCTGCTCAAACCTGCTTGTCAGGGCTAGCGTGGTCTGAGTTGGATACATATTTAAACAGACAGTCATAGAAACCTGATTAAATCTACAAACAAAAAATAAAACAAACAAAAATAAAACTCTACTCCAAACGAAAATCGGACCCAATTCTCCAGTATGTGTGGCGATGAGTCAAACAACAACATTCGAGACTGTCGTGATCTATGTGAGAGACAACCATCACCAACGTAACGATAATTCTTTGTCCACTTGCTGTTGAGACGGACTAAGTCCAGTTTGTATATTATATTATATCTATCTATCTATCTATCTATCTATCTATCTATCTATCTATCTCTCTCTCTCTCTCTCTCTCTCTCTCTCTCTCTCTCTCTGTATATATCTGTGGTGTCAGTTGAATAATTTCCGCAAGAAATATTTGGTCTAAATTTGATTTCTAAATGTTGAAAAAAAACAAACAACAACCCCAACATACAAACAAAAAAATATAAATTATGATGCAGATATAATGAAATCACCTTTTAAAAGAATGAAACAGTTTTATTCTGTCATCTGAAAAGAAAATTACTTTCTGGGCTTTGTACATTTGAACAGCTTCAGATGTAATAGATAAATACCCAGTTGTAATAAAATTGTCATGATATGAACATGTGTGATCATGTGTGAAATGTTAGTATTATATAAATGGATTTTTTTATGGTTGCGGTTATCTAAAAATAGACAATGTTGCTGATTTTTTTGTTCCGAAAAAAAAAAAAAAACTTTTGTTTTGTGAGAGGAGAGAAATGTGATTTGATGTTCAACTGTCTTAAAGTTGTTAAAAATGAAGGCATTTGCTTTATCCACTGTGATGTTTGTTTGTTTGTTCTTTTAATTGTTTCTTTACTTTTAATTCAGTACTTACCGACTTTCACTTTTTCTCCAAATGTAGCAAAATATGCCATATTGCTTTTTCTTTGATATTGTTCGTTTTTTCTTTCCTGCTCACAAACAAAGTGGTTCAAAGAAAGTGTTTTGCTTTTATTTTTGTTTTGTTTTGTTGTGTGATCAAAAGTAACACCGGCAGACAATCGAGAGCGTCTCATGACTGTTTTCAATCTGTTTGAGGGGCGCTTTTTATATCATACTTTTTCCGCTCGAATTGAGGACGATGACGAGTTTTAAAGTCGTCCATCTGTTCTATTTTATGAAAGAACTTGGAATAGGGCCAGGGAAAGAAGGTGGGGGG